GAAAGTCCCTTTTTTCCGTTCGATTGATCGGTTATTTTAAACGCGGGGTGGCCAATGGTCGATCGCAAAGGCAGTGCCAGTAGATCGCCGACCATCGATCCTTGCTTACTAACGGACTCATTTCATTTCATTCATAAGAAAGGTAATGAACAAGAATGTATGGAATGGCTCAATGTTTTCTTCATATTATTTGCTTTTGTTGAGGGGAGGGTAGATTGCCATGACACGGGTGGCGCGGCTCTTCCTAAATCTTTTATTATTAGGCAACTGACAGTCATACAATATCATAATAAAGAGTTAATGCCCCTGAGACGAATTGGTGCATCTTGGAGGATCAACCACGCTGTTCATGCTTTCTTCCTGCATTGGTATTCACTTTGGGACACCCAGAAGGGACTGATCTCTAAACTTTACAACCAGATCCTAATTACAGTTTGTTCACAGAGGAAAGACAGGAGGTTTTGGGCGAGGAGCAGAGGACTTCAAGGTCGAATTATGCTACAATATGCAGTGAAGCTAATTAGCAATTAAGGGACTTGAACTTCATCATCCAAAAGATTCTTGACAATTCCACCTAAACTCATCTTCAGTTTTTGCATAACACCCTGCATTCACTTCTCTGGAACAACCAGTGGGGACAATGCCCCCACTACTACCTCCATGGTAGCGCACTCAAGACTTAGCAGTGGTGGGATTTGAACCCACTAGCACCTATAGAGGTTTTGGCCCCCTACACCACTACACCACCAGTCCTGCTCACACTTGAGAAACTTTATTTCTCCTATTAAACCGTGAGAATGTGCGTAAAACTTGAAAACTCTAGCTGCTATTCCACATCTGGGCTTGAACCATCAACCTATGGGTGCAGGCATAGATTTGAGACAGCAGCTCTTCAGCTGTGCTACCTCGCCACACACTAAACAACTCTTTGAATACTACAGCAAATACAGCAAGTTGTCAAAGTTCTAATGATCGCAAACTACATTAGTACATTTTACGGCAAACTATATTATGACTCATGTAAATCATGTTAGCGGGTGGTGTGGTGGTCAGCACTGTTGCCTCATAGTCAGAAGGTCCTGGGTTCGACTCTGCCCAGAGGCATTTCTGTGTGGAGTCTGCATGGTCTGTGCGGGTTCTCTCCAGGTACTCTGGCCTCCTCCCACAGTCCAAAGACACACTCTGGTGATCAGTTGTTGTTGTGGCGCAGGGGTTAGAGAAGGTGTGCTTGGAAGCTCAAGGTTGGTGGTTTGATTCCAGGCTGCCCCATGTTCCATGTCGAAGTGTCCCTGAGCAAGACACCCAACCCCTAATTGCTCCCCCCATAATGTGAAAAAAGCCATGGGTTTAAAGTGTAATGTATGTCACTTTGGATAAAAGTGTCTGCTAAATGACCTGTAATGTAATCTTACTTTAGACTACATACATAATATACATTACTCATGCGCTGTATCCCCATGATTCAGTTTACATCTTTTAACCCAATAAATACATCATCCCCACACATCAGCATCATCCCAAGTGATAGATAGAGGACGGATGGATAGAAACGCCAACTTCAAATGAGTTAAAACATGTTAAAACATGTCTGGCCGGGTGAAGTGGGGGCAGGGAGGTTTTCATACTGTTAGATGGTCTACATGCAAGGTTGGGGAAGTGACAGATGCTGCTTCAAATTAGGGTGTACTGTCACTTTAAAGGATGGAGCATGCTTCTGCGTCTGCGTTGTTGTGTCGACGCACTCGTTTCAATTCATGGTTCTTATATCCAACTAACTTGTGTGAGATGAATGCCGACTAGCGGCCACAGGGTGACAGTGCACAGTACGAACGGTTTTTTAAATGTGCCTAGATTTTGGTGTCCTACAAAGAGGGACCATTGTATTGGATGGATGTTGATTGATCCTCAAAATATTAATAATGTTCAAAATGAAAAGTTCCCCCAATCCTCCTTAGGCACAAAACCACTAACGGTATAAGTTGGCCGGCAGAGGGACACACAAAACCTGCATTATTTTTCTTATTTTTTAATAAAAAAAATGTATGCTACAGTTTGAGAGTCATTAGTTATGTGCAGTAATTATGTCCTACGTGAGAAAGAATTTGATTTTATGACATAGTGACATATGACACTTCTGAAAGGATCTCAAGGGAGGCAACTTCTGGACAGGGGGATGGCAGAACCTTCCATAAAGTTCCACCACAAGCAGCAACTCAAAAAGGAAGAAAAATATTGGTTACCAAATTGCATACTTTTTCTTTTTACTTTGAGTACACACAGCAGATTCCCCTTAACATGCACTATACATGGAACACAATGACTTGGTCATAAAACTGCACCGTGAACTTTGACCCCTCTTGCTTATGTTGTTGCAGCACAGAGCAATGTAGCTGCATTCCAAATCACGCACTTCTTTTTTTTTGTATTAGTTTTAGCACATGCTGTATGTGTCGTTACAAACTGCATTCTAATACCCACACTAGATATGTCAGAAAATGATTAAGTTGGCCCCAAAACATAGTATGGTAAATACTATGAATTTGACCCACGATCCTTTGCGTCGCAGAAACAAGACCAAGAGGGTCCGATTTTAAGCTCTAATTGTATGAGGAACCAGCAAGAGTTATGTACTGCGTGTCACAGTAATGTATTATTGCTACTTTCACTTCTGCATGTTAGGATATAATCAACAGGAATGCACCGATTCATGTGATCCCTGGGTCTTTGATAATGTACTTTCTGAAGTTTCACTATTTGGCAACGGCATGGATTTGGAAATGTATAAATCCTCAAAGGTATGTACATACCTTTTCAATATCATGTTGCCAAAATCCATCAAAGAGACAAAGCATACCCCGCCTGACCGCTGAGTGGAAGTTGTATATGCAGAGAATTAGGCATTCAGTCTGTATTAATGTCAATCTTCTCGTCTATACTTTGGAAGTAAGCTGATGAACTAATGCACTCGCAATAGTTGAGAGCCTCTAACGGCGTGTATTCACTCGGAGGATGAAAGAGACAGAAAGACAGAGATCCAGCGATCCACTCCACGTTGTCCAGGTGTCCTTTGGCGTCTCGTTCCCATCTCGGTCTGCTGCCTTGTTGCTGACTGCAGAAACAGATCGAGAGAGTGAGAGGGGGAGAGCAAATCAGCCAAAATCCAGCTAGCAGTGCACAATTATATTTAACCAATTTACAGCATCATTGTAGTTTCACACTTTAATCAGTCATGAAAATGGTCAATATCAATAATCCTCAATTGATATTGATTTTTATAATGAGAACAAAGGAGGAAAAAAAATGAAATTACATTGAAATAATAACCTTAACCCCCATACAATAATTCATTGAGAATTAAAATCCAAATCCGTATGAAGAACATCAAAATGATACATTATTATAAACAAAATGAATTAATTAAATGAATCTTGCTGGTTTTACAGCAGCGACAACCTATATTTCCTAGAGCTCTTTTTTTACCCCCAAGAAAGTTTCTTTTGGGAGCCTCATCTGAAGCCAGGTTAGAAGGACAGTGGGTGCTAACATTGCTCATGATAACATGGAAACACAAGCTGATAATATTTCATTGCTGTATTACTACTTGTTACTGCTGCCCCATAGTGGAAATACAAATGTAGTCAATGTTGAAAATAAATAAAGGAATATGCTGCCAGGATAAACAAAAAAGTGGATCTTGTGCAAAAACTTCCAAAGGTGAAAAGCCGCTGACACCCCAAAACTAAAACACAATGACAAGACAACTATTGAATCTGTAACTTCGGCTGCGTACGGCCTGTTGTCTCAATCCTATAATGGAGATTAAGAAAATTAGCTTAGTGCAAGGAAACACCCGTATTTTGGCTAAACACCCGTATTTTGGCGACACTCCAGGAAGGAGTTAAGAATTGGGCCCTGAAAAGCCTGTTAATGGCAGTGGACAGCCTGCACGTTTCTCTGTGGCTAAGAAGGATTAGTGTTCGGAAGCAATTTCCATTAGTCTGCTGCACAATGCAGAGATGCCTCAGGCTTTTTATCAATTGAAAGGACAACAGACCGTCTTGTGTGCCACACAAACACGTTTAGACACAGTATGCCTCTTTCTTGTTCAAAGGAGTAACTTTTTGGGGACCAAAATAAACAAGGTGGACTGCAGGAAAGTAATGGAATGTAAGAGTTTGTGGAGGAAAATGTCTTTCTCGGGATGTGTATTCTGACATGGAGATTGTGTTGAAGCATGAAGATTATAACAATCTTTAGGGCGGCGTATCGATCTATAAAAAAAGTAAATGTGGTTACTGAGTCCCATACTGGTCATACTGTTTGCACACAAAAACCTGCATTGTTAAGAACACTACCAAGTCGTTAATGTCATCTTTTTATTCCTCTGTCATGAAGTCAGTTTTGCTTGTCAGTGTTCACTATTCTGCAGCGATTTTTAAAACTCTCAAAAGTTTTGTTAACAGCGTTTTGATTTTTACCGCCTCATAGTTGCATTTTTTTTGCTGCAGAGTACTTGGGTACAGTGTGGGATGTGCACACACACACACACACACACACACACCCACACACACACACACCCTGAGCCAAAGCCTCGTCTCCCTCTGAGAGTGTGTGCAGAGATGAGACGGACCGCACCTTCTGTAAGCGCTAACTGACACTGGAGATGCAAGGGTAGCAGTGAAGGGTCAGCTTTCATTGCATTGTCTTTTTTTGCTCCTCCTGCTTCTTTTAAATGTAGATTGTTGGGGAGTGTTAGGAATATTAGCATATAATGATCTGGTATTCTGTGTTTTTACGTAATATCGGTCACTGGAGCCAAGTACTTATAGTCAACCAGGAGGGATGAAAGACATTGAAAAAGGAGCACCGGATGTTCTGGAGTTCCCTGCTTCCATCTCGACACAAACTTTCTGTGTGACTTGTGGAATAAAGCTGCCAGCTTTCTGAGCTCGAAAGACAACTTTTGGTACTTTTTCGGGGGGGGGGGGGGGGTGGAGGAATCCTATTTATTTTTTTCAATTACTTTCACAACAGGTATGTATTTTTTCTTCTTTTTTGAAATACAGAGCTGTTTCTGCTGTATCTGACATGTTGAACCGGTCTGTGACATAATAATAGATCAAATAAAGCGATCTTCTCTCATTCAAGTGTTTTTTTCTATAACCGGTCCATTGTAACGTGAAAGATAGATGCAATTATTATGTTGGTATTGTTGAAGATAGACATACATTAATATCATACATATATTAATGTATATATGATACGTTAATATCATAATATACATTCATATGTCAAACATGTTGATATTATATGAATTATTACCTTTAAATATATTTATTTAGGACCATTCCTTATGAAAAATGAAAAAAATCATCTTTTGTGACATTCTGGTCTATTTCACAACAAAAGACAGTGGTGTTGGGGGGGAAATACTGCTCATAAAAAGCTGTGGTCAGACACACTCTCTGATAAAAGCATTGCTTTTCTGTTTAACTGTAGTGAAAGTCTACCAGTTAAAGAGACTTCTGCAGTTCATCTCAGACATTGGGGGGTATTTTTGTGGGCCCCGAGATCTTTCAGCTATTTCTCAGCACGGTGAAGTGAGAAGGGAGGGGAAGCAGAGCCAACACAAAAGGCAACATTATTCCCCAGCGGATCTGCGCTACATCCTACTATGAATGGAGTATTGAAAAACATAACATTGGGGACTAGATTATTTTTCATCCTTCACAAATGAGCCATTTGTCCAGGAGTTTCGAGTGGTTTGTTGGTACGGTGTTGTGCTGGTGTTAAACTCCCCACCTCTAAATTGGAGGCACAGGGATCCCTCTGTGGGCCTCTGGCCTTCAGCGCCGCACCATTTCAGACTCCAGGACGGTCCAGGGAAAAAGGACTGGAACTGGGTGAAGACTGCACGGTCCAGAGTCTTGTCTCGGGCTGCTGTCAAGTGTTTGTTTTTTTTGGCATCCTACGGCCCTGCAAAGCTTGCATGTTACGTTTAAACAAACTCTCTATTTACTGCAGAGAAGCTAACGATTTTAACACCTTACTCCCCCCCCAGGCTCTACCATTCTACCCCTTCTCCTGCTCTCCAAGAGACGAGAGGCGCCCCTGCAGTGTCATCAGGTGCCTAAGCGTTCTGCAGGGTTCTAGTGACAGATTGCAGGAAGAAGCGTTTATGCCTGACGATGGGGACCACAGAAAGCAGAAATGTCTTTTTGTGCCCCCTGGGCCCGGAATGTCCACTATCTCGAGGGGCCAATATCAAATTCTCCCCTCATCATCCCCTAATACGCATTCCTGTGTAGGGTCAGGGGGAATTCTGCATGAGCAAAGAGACAAACAACCCAAGGCCAAGCCGCACATTGTGTATCTCCTAATGTCAACACTTCTTCAATAACAGTATTCTCAGATTCCTGGGAAATGTGCTTATTACAAATCCCCCATTTCATTAATTAATAATAATTAAAAAATGTAACATTATAGGTTTTCCCTCGCGCTACAGCTGATAGCATTTTAGTGAAGTATTTAAATTCTACTGCAGTATGAATGTACTATGGCTATTCAGTGTCTGGCTCAGCGCTATCTAACCCCAATTATTGAGTGATCGTTGTAGAATCCCAATATTCTTCGTCCGAGGGGAAATCCCCTTGATTGGTGCTTGTGTTACAGACACGTTTGACACGTCTGTAACACAAACCCTCCCCAGCTGTTGACGATTGGAAATGAATTGTCCTCATTCTGAATCTCTCGCTGTTGCCGCCTCCGATACACGCTGCCAGCGCAGGTGCACGGCGGCCATTTTGTACTGACTAAAACAGCAGTGTAACTCTACTCCATGTCCCTTGCGTTTTATGGCAACAGCGGCACTATTTAATTTTGGGAAACCTGGTTTTGCTTTGAGAAGAGTTGGTGTGCAGTGCCTTAAAGTCCACAGGAAGTGATGTGCACTAGGTGGAGACAATTTATTTTTGAGCTCCAACCCTGACCTCTGCCAGACTACCATCAATACATAGTTCAGCACCATGACAACAGCTGCAGGGACCACCAGAGAAAACAATCCAATACTATAATTAGGCTGCACTGAACCAGGACAAAATATAGTGATCGTATCTACCAAACAATTGTCAATTACATTTAGAGATGTGTTCCCATGCAAACACCGGCCTTTTGGGAATCTCGATGAGAGAGACTGACTAGCGTGTGAATGTGTGTGGTCAGTCAGGCAGCCATGCGAGGCCAGCGTGTGGTGGAGAGCAAGTGCAGGTGCTGGAACCCAGCCGTCTGGCTCCTGCTGTCCCTGCTGGCGTCCCTCGTCTTGGTGGCCGTCTCTGTGCTGCTGCGACTCGGTGAGTGTGTGTGTGTTTTTGGGGTCGGGGTCAAGGCCACTTGGTTTTCCTGCCTGACTGTAGGGGTTCCCCTTCTGATGTACAGAATGCTGCATGCGATCCGAAGAAGGAACTAGAAGCCATTTTGGAGAAATTTGGTCATACGATGGTTTAGTAAAGACATATTCAAAACATAGACCGGCTCACAGTCATGACAGAGAAGGCTGCATTTGAAAGTATTTGCCACGATAAAGTACAACTGACCAAACATGGATTCCTCACTTTACAGATTCTCAATGTAGAGGAGGTGTGGAATAATTAGGATTTGTGTGTACACTGTATATATGTAGGTGTACGTGCCTTGTATCTATGTATGATGATAATACGTTCAAATGAATAGAAATTTATGAGACCATGTAACAAATTACAATTTTTTGTGTTTTTTACTTTGACGAAAAATCACTTGACATGTTTTCAAAGGAGTGTTCTTTAATTACAAGTATGACAAATTGTAATTGTTAAGTTACAAAGTGAACAATGTGAAATATATACCGAAAAGTAATATGCCTTACGGTTTGGTGCGTTTGTTTAAAGTTCTCAACAACAAGCTTCAGATTAATGAAGTATATAATTTTTCATATACTGGGTCAGGGAGTTTGGTTGCATCCAGATTGAAAACGATTGCGACACATTCTGGCCGTTCACATGGCTCAGTAACGAGGTGTGCCTGCAAGTGGAGCTCCCTGTAGTGGAGTTCTTTTGTGTCCACAGTTTCTGTCTGACCTGTGTTTACCAGTGCTAGCTGGCTAAAAGTTATTTTTTAAGTATCAATTCAGCTTACTGGACATTGTGTCCACATTGTGGACAAATATAGAGAGAAATTAATTAGAATGGATTGCTTGTCTCTTGGTAGAGACATGAAAAGTTCAAATGAGGGCCATTTACTAACTTTTTCTTTTTTGTTCAAACTTCAGGAGACTTGAAAATAAACAGACGGGCTGTAAACAGTAAGTAATATTTCAGGTATTAAAATGTTTTGCTATAAAAAGTCCTTGAAATGTAAACCGTAATGTAACCTGGTGCCAAGAACAGATGTGTTCCCAGCCCCCGAATTTAAAATAGTGCAAATATTGTACCCTTTCATTGTGTTTTAATACCACAAACAAACTGGGAAGGTCTGTGAGACGACCTATTGGGTGTGAAGGGTGAACAAATCCATTCCGCTGTCATTGTGAGTTGTTGAAACCTGAGATATTAGGCGCTCGTGTCCTCTATACAAGTCCAGAAACATCTTCCAGTGAGACTCTTTGTTGTGTCAAAACAAGCATGTCTTATAAATATGTATTATTAAAATATCTATTGTTTTATTTGGTTCATTTGCCTAACACTAAAGACAAACATTCAATAAATGGGCTATCATAGAGATGTTCGGTCTGAGATCATTTCCTCCCCACTCACAGAGAAGAGCTGATCATAAAACATTTGTTCTAATGTTCCCGAGTAGGCGACTCCTCTGGGTCCTAAAAGATGATGTCTTTCTTGAAGTCTATGAAAAACTTTACCTCAACATTACCTCAATATACATTGTTAACGCATGTTTGTGGCTTTAATTGCTAGTTTCAAGTAGTCTTTAATAAGGTGTGGGGTTAATTTAGTGAATGATGGTCCCACTAAGAGGAAAATAGATGAAAAAGCCTAGGATAATTTAGGGCCTGGCTATCGTGTGATCAATAGGCCGATACTACGACGTTGGGAGTTTTTGTCTCGCAAAGTGTATTCTCTGGTTCTGAATATTAACTGCAACATTCTGGTCACCCAAGCTTGCTGAGCATTTGGTTTCAAAGTTTGATCCTATTGTGTCACTTCTGGTTGCAAAAACCAAGACTGTGACGGCAAAGCTTCAAAAGGCAGTCCACAAACCAATGAGGGACCACCTTCTTCTCCAACTTGCTGTCTGCCGGTGGCGCGAGATGTCAGAGGATCACCAATTTTAGTGGGATGGCATCCTCTGCAGACAATGTCAGCATAAAATGATCTCACAGCTGTGGACTTTCCCTCCCTTCCCCATGCTGCTAGTGTGGCAAAAGAAAACAAATTAAAGGAATAGGCGAACATATTTCAGTTGTGGCTGGTGCCCTGTGTGGTCTGAACAGGCCTCCTGTTGGGGTTTCAGTCTGTGTCTAGTGTTACAGGAAAATGGATATAGTAGATATAGAGTACAGTAACTATGGAAGGCCAAGAGCCTCCTTTCAACAAATAATTTGGCCGCACTCTCCCTTTGTCTCTCTCCATTTTCCCTCCTCCCTCCTGTTTCAGCCGATGGCGTGCAAACCCCCGTGAGGATGCCGTACCAGGGTAAGCATGTGGGAGACGTTTACTGCACACCTGCCCAGACACTCTTATTGAGGAAAAACATGTCATTATCCAGGCGACGATATGAAGACATATTAGTGGCTGGCTCGGTGAAAGAGAGCACAGATCAGTGCTTTGGGCTGTCTTGACAAGGTCACTTTCCCATCTCGCCATTTCCCTAATCCCCATTTATTTGCCATGTAGCCTCCCACCCTCCTGCATCCATCTGCCAAGGACTCATGTGGCGTATTTTGTGCCTTAACCTGGTGTTTTCTCTTAACAGTCATTACATTGCCCTTGTTTTCTCACCAAAACAAAAAGCCAAACCGAATCATGCAGTTAAATTGACCCTGAAACACTTTAGCTTTTTTTAGGGCCTCATATTTGTCAGTGAGGTGGGACAATGACAATCATACAACCGGGACTTCCTAATCTGACTCAAAAGACATGGAACAGAGTTGTGTTTAAACATTAACAATACAAGGGCCGCTTATCTCTCCAAAGTACAACTAGTGAATGGACGTAGCCGGTGTGAGGGTAGAGTGGAGGTGTTCTACAATAACTCATGGGGCACTGTCTGTGACGACGACTGGGATATGGTGGACGCCAACGTGGTTTGCCAGCAGCTGAGCTGCGGAGTGGCGGCGGCGGTGGGCAGCAGCTCTCAGTTCGGACAAGGCTCAGGGCTCATCCTACTGGATAATGTGGACTGCAGAGGGAGTGAAGCAGACCTCAGCCAGTGCCGTAGTCTGGGCTGGGGCGTCCACAACTGTTACCACTACGAGGACGTGGCCGTTACGTGCAGAGGTAAACTCTTTACACAACTTCTAAAGCCTAGTGTGGCATCCACGCAAGTGGCACCATGCATGGTAACCAGTGGTTGAATGGGTGAATGGCATGTGGTACAGAGCGCCGGGATTTTCTCGGGTCAATGAGGACAATGTGACTAAAAATCCCTGCCTTTTTTTTTAATTTTGATGCTAGAACCGGCGGTGGTGGGGGCGAAAGGTTTTGAGCATCGCACGACGCCTCTGCAGGGGAACTTGGGTTTACGTAAGTGCCGCCTGCTTTTCTCTGAGTGAGACTGGTCGTCCGCCAACCTGGAACGTCTAAGGGTCGGATTTGTATCCAGGACTATTTTAAAAAGCAGTATCTTTCCATGACTATTGAGATCACATTGTTCAGTACATAAAATGGGTCACTAGCTGCTGAAAATTGGAGCTGGACTGTATACATCAAGGAGCCAGGAATATGCTTCTAAAGGTAATGCTTGTCTTTCCAACAGGTTAGACAAATTGAATTAAAAATCTGATAAAATGTCATCCGTTTTTTTCAAAGCTTGTTTCCACTGCTCCAAAGTTGCCAAACAAAAGTTTAAGCATGTGACCTTGAAAGACACAATGCACATCTGTATTTGAAGTTAATCTTCAGCCAACATGGCTGATGAAATTACTCACCCACCTCTGAAAAGGGAATTATGCCAGACTGATTTCCAAAAGGTTTAAGGACAGATGTTGCACTGTCTGTGGAAATAGGTAGACCTTTACTTCAATGTGTGTCTAATGCGCTCATTCCAATGCAACCTTAAAAATATGTGAGGGAAAACTTCACTAGCTTTTCTGTGTGTTTTTTTATATTATGTTTTGCTCTAGGATTGAATTAAAAACACACACACACACACACACACACACACACACACACACACACACACACACACACACACACACACACACACACACACACACACACACACACACACATGCATGATAGTCTAGCAGGTGGCATGCCAGATGTTACAAAATACAAGGGCAGGTTTCATTAAATAATGAGTTGTGGCTTATTTTGTTATTGTATGGGTCCCAAATGCAACTTGTGAACAAAAAAAGATGAATTGATATATTATATCAGTTTTGTGAAACTGTCATCACATTGTACATAAGATCAAAGCTTTTAGCTCAGAGCAAAGTATCTTTTGGGAAACCGTACAATACACCTCAAAGCCCTCTTGAATTCCAGGCTGTCCTTATTGTTTGCAGGGTTTGCCTTTGTTGTCGTTGTTTTCTACCCTTATTTCCCAGGGCGATCCCGAGAGACAGGAACAGAATTCTGTTCACAAGTGACGAATGTAGCAAACCCTCCGGGGACCTTCGTGAAACCCATCGGGCAATTTACTGAAGCCATCCAGCCATTTTTAGTTTATTGTCTCGGTTAGAAGGTGTGTTTCTGTCCGGGCCCGGGGCAAAATGACAACATCTGCGCTACATCAGATGTTCACCTGAACTTCCTTGCTTTAGAAACCAGAAGCCAACACCCTTCTACTTACCCGTATCAATGTCTGTTTGTCATCACCACACACACGCATATATAGAATTTGACATTTATGAACATGACCCCTATAATTCCCTCCCTCTCCTTCTTGGTTTAGGAGACGGCACTATCCGTCTGGTGAATGGACAGAACGCCTGCCAGGGCCGTGTAGAGGTCTACTACCAGGGGGCCTGGGGGACAGTGTGTGATGACGACTGGTCCCTCAACAATGCCCGGGTGGTCTGCCAACAGATCGGCTGCGGCAGTGCCGTCCAAGCACACACCAACTCCTACTTTGGCTATGGAACGGGTCGAATTATCCTGGACAATGTTAACTGCCAAGGCACGGAGCAGGACCTGTCCAGGTGCAAAAGCCTGGATTGGGGCAAACACAACTGTGGCCACCACGAGGACGCTGGGGTTACCTGCACCGGTACACTGCTCTCAGTCATGGAATATGCATTAGCACAAGTCGCACAGACTTTGTTGAAACGATTAATAGTTGTGGTAATAAGAGTGGTTGTGCCACCAATAACTTGGCAATAAAAATAATAGTGGTGGAGATGATTAACTTGATCACATGTAAAGAAGAAGTCCAGTTACTAATGCTGAAGTATAATTATGATCCGCTAAAATAATAAAAGATAATTTCTCAACTCCCTGGAAATACTGAATAAGGAGGATGAGATGATTTTACACTGGTAGCATTATAGTAGTGGTGTCTGTATAAGTAACACAGTAGTAATAGAGATGACTTTAGAAATAGTGTAAATATTAAAATGGTATTTCCTTTTCTACCCCCTTCAGGATCCACCACTGTACCTCCTTTGGCAACCGAAAACAAGAGAGGGCTTTTGGTAACATATGACACTGAAGGTATACATACATAGTCCAAATGACGCACGCACGCACCACTGCTCCTTTTCTGCAGCATTTCTTATTTGCTTTTGCTAGATTTATCCCTTGAAAATTAAATGTGCATTTTTGCCAAACGACCAGAAGGGAGAGCTATTTCTCCCCCATTGACCTCCAATGTATTGCGCCACAGTGCCATGAATTAAGGTGGTGAAAGTGTGTATCAGACCGACCTCACCATATTCATCTGGAACAGGTCTGCCACTCTGGAGACAATAAATGATCCAATTCATGCATCTAATCTTCCCTCCAGCAACAGAAAACATTCCAGTCACCACAAGACCAACTCCAACGACTGTTACCACAACTGCCCTGACCAAAGGTAACAATTCAAAACTGCAAACACAATTACAGTACATTTTGGACTTATCAGGGAAAAAAATGGGGCATCCGTCTCTATATCGTTGTGCAGGCACACCAACCGTCCGTGTGATGAACGGTAACAGCAGCTGCCAGGGCCGCGTGGAGGTCCTCTACAAAGATATTTGGGGAACGGTGTGCGACGATGACTGGGACATGCTCAACGCCAAAGTGGTGTGCCGTGAGCTGGGCTGTGGCCAAGCCATCGCGTTCAAGGGCCAGGCCTACTTCGGCTATGGTTCTGGTCCGATCCTGCTGGACAACGTGGATTGCGTCGGTTCTGAGCGGCAGCTGTCCGACTGTCGCCACCTGGGCTGGGGTCAGCAAAACTGCGGCCATCACGAGGATGTCGGAGTTATCTGTGCACGTAAGAGCCGCCTTCAGCTCTCTATCCCCGTTTGGGGCCACAGCGGGTCCCATCAGACGGGCTTTCAGGACAGAGCACAAGGCAGCCCTGGGAAAACGTCAGCATTGCAACGTGACATCTTACGTCATCAATTGCACTGAAAGTTCACACTTCCCTTTTATTCCCTCGCCCTGCTGAGCTGTCCAGTGGCAATGCATGACTCGGGCACTCCGAGGAAGAGACGGCCCAGAAAGCATAAAAAATACAGCGGATGAGTCAACGCACATCAGCGTCACTGCTTGCCTGCGGGCCAAACTCCACTTCAACAAGGCTGAATCCAAAGCACACACAAGCTCCTCTTTAGTGAGATCTTTGGTTTAAAGTCGATCACAAAATAGGGATTATACATCTTTTGCATTCATTATGCAGTTAATATGTTCTCTTATTATTATATAGAACATTAACTAAACAGTTGTTCAAATTGCTTAACAATGTTGCGACAAAGTGTGTCTCTGAATTGTGGGATTTTTCCATTTTCCTCTGCTTCCCTCAGCTTTCGAATTCTTGAATGCAAATAGCCGTGACTTCCAAGTGACAGAAGGCATGCCTGCCACCACAAAGCCTCCCTCTGAAGGTACACCAAGCATATCTTCAACCGCACGAAAATGAATTTCTTCTGGACAGGATCTAAATTGATTCACATCTTTGCAGGAATGGTGAGACTGGTGGGGGGCCAGCACCAATGCGAGGGTCGGGTGGAGATGTACTCAAATTCTGGATGGGGCACGGTGTGCGACGATGCCTGGGACCTCCCCGACGCTCGAGTCGTGTGCCGCCAGCTGGGCTGTGGCGAGGCCGCGGTGGCGAGGCCGGAGGCGTTCTTCGGTCCCGGCTCGGGGACGATCCTGCTGGACAATCTCAAGTGCAGCGGCACTGAGGCCTCCCTGCAGGAGTGCTCCCATATATCCTGGAATGTGCACAACTGTGACCACTCTGAAGATGCTGGCGTCACCTGCTCGCTGTCGTGATTTCAGCAGAGCCAGGCTCTCGTCTCCAGGAGCAGGAGGCGGGCGTACCAACCTGGCACTTGTATATTATTATGTAAATAACAGCTTCCACATTGCACCACCAACATGCAAAATAACTAAGGTGACGATATATAATTACGTACTAAACTATCTATGCCTATTAAGCACTTTATAAATAAATATATTTGAAAAACAAAACTCTCAACTATCCGACTCACTCTTAATCGACCCGAGATGTTTAAAGGTTTACTGTAAATGTGATTTGTTGATGATTAGCTGAACACAAGTGGAAGTCTGTTATTAATTATGTGGATGGAAGAGGAGAGGTTTGTAAACTTTAGTTCCAAAATTAAGCAAATATGTAAAATAAAAAAAGAAATGAACCACAAATAAACAAGCAAATGATATACTACTACTGGAATGAGAGAAGAAACATCCCCAAATAAACGTGTCATATGTCGAGCAACTCTCCACCTACAAATACATAATGTGTCAATTCTGTTCTGCAAACCACCATATACATAAATTGCATCAGTAACCATTTACACATGACAAAATAAATGTACTTATTTTCGGCATTTAATATAATGTTGGTGTAAAATCCATATACATCTTTGTCCCAAACATGCTTTAATATTGTGTTTTTCTCAGATGGAATGAGCAAATATGGTGATTCCACCATTTGATTTGAGGATTCTTGGGACTGCGCAGCCACCAGCTCATAATGTCTTCACTTATACGGGGAGAGTATTTTCAGATGTTTACACATTTTATGTTGGTACCACAACCATTTCTAGCTAAAAGAAAGATGCTAATTGTTGATCTCATACATGTTTACCAAGTCAGACAATGTAAGAAAAAAAAGTAATTTAGTACCTATGTATCTCTAAATTGAAATTATCCAATAGGCAGAAATATATATTAAATATTTTAGTAGGGACAATTATAGAGCATTTCAGATACCGGTCAGAATAATAATCTTTAATAGGTTACAATCATAATTAAGCCAAGATACTGAATGTTACATCTGTTATGACAAGTCATCACTTAAATGGAGATATTTTGGCATCCATACCAAAGATAACGGACCTAAAAATAATGTAGTATCCATATTCATTTAGCACATTAAAATGATTATTTTGAAAAGTAAAACAACATTTTACGCTGGAATTGTAACTCATTAATTAAGATAAATAAGCAGACTTTAAGAAGACTTCAAATTTCCTGTCTGGCTCCAGTGTCTCTGCAGACCGGGCGAGAGGGCGTGTTTGATGACTCATGATACTTACTCAGCATGTCAGCGGTATGAGCTTCAAGTACAATCATTGGAAATGACCTGACACGGTTATCCATGGAGATAGATGTTTTTACAAACAACTTGTATTGCATTCGGACATATTTTAGAATTAGAAATAAGAATTCAGAACTACATAATGGATTAAAAGATTACAAAAATGCACATGCTGTAAATCTTTACATCAGATATTATTTGGCTTTTCTGCAGCCAAGCAACAAGATTCATGTGGAACACAAGATAAAGACCTCATTGAAAATAATTTGCAACACGTTCTTTAAGTATTACCGGTTAATACTTCAAATGTCACATTCACCAAAGGAAAATTGGGGGGCCATTTGGGAGGCCATTGGGGTCTTGGGTACCAATTAGCTGCTGCGCTCCTGGAGGAGGAGGTGAGATTCACTCACTTATGAGCCTGATAGCAGAATCCACGATGATACATGCTTACACCTCCTTTTGCTCGGATGTATGGAAGTACACATTGCCGGACCGTGGGGGCCAGTAGGCCGTGCCGTCGCTCTCTCTGGACAGGCCGGGGTTGTTACGTCACTCCAGTGAGGACACGCCTTTTTGGGGTGGCGACGCGGACCGAGGGAGAGCGCTCGGAGGGGGGAGGGGTGTCCCGTCGCCAGGCGCACAGACAGCAGGCAGCAGCTGCAGCAGCGAGAAGGACCCCGGCGCCGCTCCTCTGCACTCACACACGGCCTCAGTTACGACTCCTGTAGCTCCGAAACGCAAGAGACGAGCAACCAAACGCACCCAGCACATCCGCCCCAAAAATGGTAGACCGCGAGCAACTGGTGCAGAAAGCCCGGCTGGCCGAGCAGGCGGAGAGGTACGACGATATGGCAGCGGCCATGAAATCGGTAAGTGTGTTTCCTCCGCCGTGGCGCGTTCTGTCGGAGCGTTTTAAAGGAAAGAAATACGTGTATAAATAGCTTCATTGGTACTTGAGGGATTAGTGACAGCGGGATGAGCTTTGGGGCAGCGACGCGCAGCCAGGGGACCGGTGCCCCCAATCCACCCCACCCATCCCTTCTCTCGCGGGGCACGTTTTGGACCGAATGCCGGTGGGCCACGCGAAATTGATGTATGAAAGTTATGATTAAAGGAAACGTCTCGGGGAAAGAGATGCTCGCGGGAACAATCGGTCACTGCTCCGGTCAGGTTTGGCCACCATCATCCGCTGGGGACGGCGCAGAGATCCCCGCGACGCCGCGGCGCACGTCCACGGGGCGCACACCTCGGGGGGCTTTAGTGACGTGACGAGGTGCCATTAAAACCCGTCAGCTGGCCCGAATCAACGTCCGGGAGGATTGGGGCGCGTTGTCGGCGGTTTGCAGAGGTGGATTGTGGCTAAAGTGCGGACTGCTTGATGTTGGGGCGGTGCCTTTCACAAAGCTCTTTAACAAAAAAAAAAAAAAAACTGTCAGGTTGCTCGGTTGTAAAATACAATTTAAAAAAAAAACATGGACGATGAGACGTGATTTAACGTTCAGCCTGGGTCAAATGTGGAATTGGTACAAATGTGGGGTGTCGAAATGGGAGCCGAAAGATGCGCACAGCGGCGCGGCGCGGGGATGAGAGGGAGACATGGACGCTCCGGTTCCGGTTGGCGTGATGCTGAGAAATAACGCCCTAAGAGTGATAACGTTACACCACTTTGCAATTGCTCAATGTGAAGGAAGCAACGAGAAGGCATGTCCCCCCCACACACACTCCTCGTATTGGCACTCGTTTTTGGCGCATTGGGAAGTGCAATGTTGGCTGAAGGTTGATCGCAATCGATTTGCGCAGAAGCGAGCGCACACGAGAAGGGAAAAAAAGGAAAAAGAAACGCAAAGCGTCCACCTTTGCTGACGTGGGTGGTGTCGGTGGACGGGCGGCGTCTCCGGAACCCTCGGTGAATGTCATATTGCAGCAAACCGTCGGGTTTTTTGGGGAAGGGGGGGGTGGGGGGGTTCTGTCTCCCTCCTCGCCGTAGCATGACCGATCGGTGCCGAGTAGCAATCGCATCCCCCCCCCCCCCACCCCCACGAGGCGTGCCGCAGCATCTGGCCAAGATGCAGCAAAAGGCCCACCAGTAGTGCACCATTGCGCTTATTTCTAATTATTTGAATCCCAGCTTCACAAAGGCTGCATCTGTGTGTGTGAGAGACAATGAGAGCACGGAGGAAGGGACGCGCTGCCAGCGGTTATTCAAGAATGAGCACAATACATCTGCAGGACTTCATATGGTCTGTGATTAATAATACTGAATTATTAGAGATAATATTGTACTTTTACAGCCTGAAATGTTTAATTCAGATGCTAGTACTTTTGGAGTCATATTTCTATGTTTCCCCCATAGTGACCATAGAACGTCTTATTTCCTAGAGTTGCATCAGTTTGCTTTCATTCACAAGGCCGGCCCTGCCAGCAGCAGCCTGAGCACGTGAGCTGGAGCTCACATGCCATTGTGCAAGCCAGTGGTTGGGTTTAATCGCAGGGGAGGGAAGATTAGTGGAACTTTTTTTTTTTTTTAACCACATCAGCCTCAACACCAAATAGTCAACAAGTAAGCAGCCGGCGCCAGTCGCTATGGACCAAGCCGTCGGCCCTGATTAATGCCGAGTCAGAGAGAGCGAGCGAGCAAACCTCTCACACAGGCCGTCTCTCTGCAGCACCGAGGCAGCGGGGTGTGTCTGCTGCCTCGCCCATCATTCGATGGGGAATCCCTTGCCACTGCAGACATGGCAACCCGCCCCCGGGAGGCACCGGTGCCAAATAGCCGGGCTCCACAGAACACAACGCTGCACCCTCAGCGAAAAAATGCCCCCAGTGGACCCAGCAGAGTCATTATCGGGCCTACTGTGTCTTTCCAAATTCATCTTTAAGAAGCTATGTCACAGCGGCCTAAAGTCCTGCTCCGTGGGGCACGGAGGGCTACGAGCAGAAAGGCAGACCTGGTGTTCTTTTGTGGATCCTCCTTATACATAAGGAGCACATAATTGGTGAGATTTATATGTGAGTGTCCGTCCAGTGAGCCGGTTGGCTTTTGGATCCCGGACTTCCCGAAAGAAAAGCCAAATGAACAGAAAACAAGGTTGTATAAATTATTAAATGAAGAGTTTTGGCCCCCTATGATTTGATAAACTGTACAGTGCATTCAATTCACCACTGATATGGAATTTATATTTTTGGGTCATTTTCAAAACTCCCCTAGAATATTATTATTCATGGTCTATGATGCCAGCATGACAGTATGCATAGCTAATGAAGCGGTTACATCACAGCAGCTGCACGTGCACAATGTCTCAACCCTTTAGTAGAGTTTTCTTCCCCAATGCTGGCCCACAGGAATACATCAAAACAGATCCACCAGTTTTAATGTAATAAATGCACATTATGATGAATTTGAAACATTTGAGATTTTTGAATGAGCTTTTTGTACCTTGCGGCCACCCATCGCTTCCCCTGCATTCTCATACAGAACAGACACATGTAGTACAAAATAAGTGTTGAAATTTTCCAAGCAAAGTACTCAATTGCCAAATGATCCAATGAAATGTTAGCAGTGGGTCTTCATCTGAGGAATGATGAAACTCAAACAACATGGCGACGCCTGAGAGTGCAAACAGCAGCGACGTTGCTGCCGCCGGGGGAGATGCTTATCAGCAGTATCCGCTGCAGATCGCTGCAGATCGGCGACTGCTAGCTAGCCAGTGGTGTGGGGGGGGGGGGGGGAGGGGGTACGCTCAAATGGAGACACTACTCTAATATTTCTTTATAAAGCCAGCAGTGGCTCGCTGCTATTTGAATGCTCAGAATATGAAATGTTTCACCATATAATCCATGAACCTAAAGTTAGTATTTTGTGAATCATATTGAACGTTTGAGCCAATTCGTTACCAGTTATTCCCCGAGAGTCACAGTTCACAGAGACTTCAGTAGCTGAATACAAACAACTGACTTTGATTCGGTAAGTAACTACACCGCAGGGGCTTCATTTGCTCTCAGCCTTTAATTTTATTAACATTCAGCTTCATTAAACTAGCCAGGTCACTCATAAATATTAAAAGCAACTCCAAACACATTCCCGCTAACACTCCCTTTGGAGAGCGTCTTGGGAAGTGCAAGGCACAGACAGCCCCGGCTTCCGTCCTGCTTAATGAACTGGATGCATTATTCTCTCATGGAAGTCTGTGCGATGCCTTATCACGTGCATTGTGCTGCAGCTGCTGGATGTACACTGAATGTATGTGTAATATCTGTATTCACTGAGTCCATTATCTAACTGCCTCCATGATGTTTCGAGATAACATTTGTATTTATTTGAGACATGTCTTTGTTGAAATATTGGGGGTTTTATGTATTTACCACAGACGCAGTGTAGCCCATCCAGATGTGTACTAGTAGGGAGTGACCCAAAACGGCTGCATAATATACCTGCGCCGTTAAAGGTGGGACTGAGCGGGAGTGCAAATATCTAGTATATGAAAACTGAAGTGTTGTTGGACCGGACTGTCCACATTCTGCAAGTGCAGTAAGTGTGTGCGACCAGATAATGAAATAATTTCAATGACATTTCAGTTTAGGCTTGACCGAAAACCATCACTGCCAATCTGAAGTCTTGACACCTCAGCACCGGATTCGTCTGTCACTATGGGAAACATTACCTGGAAGAGAAGCAGGGACATGTTCTAGCATTGTTTTTTTTCACTTTTGACCCCCACTGGCCGAAAGCAAACTTAGCTACCACGGTCTTATTTTCAGGAGAAACGAGTGCTGTTGGAGTGAGCTGAATCTCCAAAGAAGTGGGTGTGAGTGGGATGAAGCATCTTGTGGGAGATATCCTCAACACCAAGCAGATTTAATGTCTCAAAATGTGCCCCTGATGTTTATTAGACACCTACAGTCATTTTAGACCACCCCCATTCCCACGCGCACTGCATTCAGTTCCGCTTCACTAGGTCTTCCTTGCTTACCATGGGATGTGCGGAATTTAAATGAGCGATATTCTCCACAGCGGTACTTCGTTAGCTCGCAGCATCATTCAGTTGCCACAATGTCTACTTTTGCTTAGTCATTGAGAGCAGGCATGGACGTAATTAAAGGGCAGCATTGGTTTCGTGACAGAGTTTGTACAAGAAGAAGGAAATCTGTGAGGGTGAAAACCGTTGTTGTAGATCAGATGAAACGCAGCAGTTTCTGCAGTTATCTGGTACCCTCCGATGGGGAATAATTGTAAAAATAAAATAAAAAAAGAATAGTCTTTTATGGAGCCATGAGCGCGTTGAAGTGTCCCATTGCAGGAAGGACTTAATCGTGGGTTTAAAGACACAAACACCTGATCTCCAGACTTTTCTAACCTCCTAGGAGATGGACCAGTCCTAAAAACAGTGTGAAACATCATCCGCTGCCCCCAAGCCAGTCCATTACCAAGTATTAATAATGCAATTACACAATAATCTCAGGGCTGTTGATTGTTCGTAACACTACCAGCCAATAGGTGGTGAGTCTGCAGTCCTCTGATCTGGGAGCTTGTATTCTTTAATGTGAATTAGTAGTTATTGTGTAACAGGTAAACATGAATAATGTGCTGACAGAAATGAAATGGGATGTGCCATTTAAAGACCAATCCGACCTCTAAAGTGGAGCCTAAAACATGCAAACTTGTTGTTATTTATTTTGATGAGCAGTTGCTTACTCACAGTTTTGACACATTTGACGCATGTCACACGTTTAACTTTTGGTCACGCCTGTCTGTTTTAATGAAAGCCGAGAACAAACAGAACCTAATTTGGTCTGCACGTTGTATACATTCCTTTTGAGTGATCAACCATTTTTCCGTCACTCACAAAAGCCACGGTCATATATTTGGTAGCCTGGCAACAAAGCGCTACTTTAAGCTCCCTCTTCACAACCCTGAATAAGACACACACGCGCCCGGCCTTGCATGGGCCTCAAGCCCCATTCACACCGCCAGTGACGTCAGGTAGTCCCCGGCGCCTTTGTGCCCGACCGCCACAGAAAAGGTCGGCGGGGGGGGGGTATGGGTTGTCACATTGGGTTAGGAGAGCAACGAGAGCGAGGGCAGATGAGCAAAGAAAGCACAGAAGGAAAACGTGGAACAGGGAGCTGTGGGACTGCGGAAAGCCTGCGTTATGGGAATTGTAATCCATGAAATGGAAATGGGAGGTGGCAGGCGGTGACGTCCAACCCAGGCTCCACTTAGGCCGGACGTATCCCCTTACCCTCACAGCCCCGCAGCTCTTACAGTTTATCTCCTGTGGACTTTAATGGCTATGCAGAGATTTGCCAGAGAAAGGTTATTGATTGACCTGGCAGGGAAACTCAGCCGTTTGGAGCTTTGAAGGATGAGTCACGAGAGAGCCGACGCGATTGATGAGCTCTATGGGTGGACAGAGCTCCATTGTCACCACCCGCACCGCAGCTTCCGTCAGGGCTTTCTACCCGTCCCGCAGCCTTGTGAAACAAAGGCATCCATGTTTTTACAAACATGTTGTTTAGGCTTTGTTTTTCTGACCTCTCCGATGCTCCGGCGCTGACCTACTCTGCTGGTTGTATTTGCTGTGGGGCAGATACTTATTTAAGTTGTAATTTAATGGGCTACGGCACAGAGCAGAGGCTTTGCATTATCAATGAGGGGGGATCTTTACTGTGCCTTGAGATTATTACGCAACGAATGCCAATCATTATTTGACAGCTTTCTACTCGTTCAGTACCGAGGTCATTTTCTTTATGACCCTTGTACATTTTTTGCAACATCTTGTAGGAGAAACACTCCTTATTGAGCAAGCACACAGGTCAACAGCACCGCTAGTGGGCCTTCATAGGCTGCAGTGCTCATTACAATGCAAAGTAAGGTACAACCAGAATGTTTGGTTGTTGGGAAAACACACAAATCCTCTGGTAATCCGTCCACTGGTGAGCTTTTGTACCAATCTGATCATTTGGATTCAGGGTGGCTGAGACCCCCATCCTCAGGCCCTGCATGCCACCTGCAAGGTCAAAGCGTGATTGAGGTTGCTTTTGGAGTCCTCCCATGTTTCTTGCGCAGGCTGTAAGCTTTTCAATATTTTTTGTATGGAGCCATTCAAATGACATTGCTGTGGCTGACTATGAGTGTTGGCCCAAAGGTGTGAGTGAGGAAATGGCTTGTGTGCACTTACATCCATCCACAGTGCTGCAGCGTTCTCCATACCATCAGCCATGTCAGCATCCTCGCCATTAGCAGCTTATAACCAGTGTCTCCAGTAGGGAAAGAAACAAAGCAGATTTTTCAGTCACCATGGAAACAGGAGATTGCAGCAGTGATTGGTCTTCAGCCTCCCCTCCCCTTCCAACCTCCCTCTCTCCCTTTAACAGTATCTGATCAAAGATTGTCAGTTTTGTTGAATAGAATTGTGGCTTTGAATGCACCAATGCATGCTGAGAATGAGTTTGTCAGATAAAGACATGCATGTTCATGTGTTTTCTATCAATAGATAGATAATATACTGGAACACGGATCATCAGCTTGTGTGTGTATTAGGAGTCAAACCAGGGGACAGGGACACAGTTGTTAGCTCATTGGGACTAGGATTCTTAAGGTCACACGTTTAAGCTGTCCGGTCCTTGACATAGTCAGAGGTCGATGCCAAGCGTCAAGGATGCTGCACACACACTATCATGCAGTATAACATCTTGGGAATAAATGTCTTACAGTATAATTAAAGAATTCCAAGTCATCTTTCTGTGTCTTTTTTAAACTGCGGCAGCGGAGTGCCACCCCACCTGGACCAAAGCATCAAGACAGTCCTGTTATTCTCAGCCAAGCTACAACGCCTGTGTTTGGATGGATTGCCATGGAATTTAATGTCATTAATGTCCCTATAACTTTGGTATTCCCATTACTTTGCATCTAACGTAACCAGCGGGTCAATATGTTCCTTAACCCTGTGAAATATTTCAGTATACAAAATTGAAAAATTCAAAATGTTGCACCAGCAGACATTCACCGTTTCTAGAAGATGAATTCTAATGGCTGTGATGATTTTCATACTTTTGATCTATGTTAACCACGAGAATGACATTTGTGGTTTTCAAAGAATTGTTGCTACAACAATTGGTTAGAATGCCTTGGCATTTGCTACTGACCGTCACGTTCCCCTCAGGGGGATTTGGAAAAGCCTTCGGAGATACCTCAAACTCAATCATGTAGCGTTGCATCAGATTCAACTCAAAGTTTGTCCAATACTTTGATTTATGACCGAACACCTAATTCTTTGTGTTACCCATTGATTAGCAATTGGTGGCACACAACATAAAGATGGTGAACATGGTAAGCAATAAACCTGTGCAAGTTAGCATTATTTACATGATGTTAAAATTCTCAAAAGCACAATTTAGAATGATCATTTTTACTCGAAACAGGAGCATTTATTTTGCTACTGTTAAAGCATTGAACTTAAATTTATTTAAATACAGAAAGAACATCAGTAAAACCCCTACAGTTTCATGGTGACCGATGACAGCGTTTAGGTTGGCCTTTATGAAGTTCCACGTGATCGGCCGCCCCCGACTCTGCTACACTCATGGGACTGAAAAGGAAAATAACATTGTTTTTTACACTCACAGAAGGTCTGTAAAGATGCCTCTGCTAAACTGTGCCAGTGGGGTACAAAGGATTAAATTGCCCAGCCAGACACAGTCGTGTCCAAACAAAACCAGTTTTCACAGCTGCTGGCAGCCAATCGGGAGTCACCTCAGAGGGTGGAGGTGTGGTTTACCCTGCAGATACTTTGTTTAGAGGTGTCGGTGACAGTTGCAGAGCGATAGCTTTCCTTTTATTCGCTTATGGTGTCCAACAACTTGGAAAGGCTTTAGTTTGACCTGTGCACAGTGGCTTATTCATACATTGTAGCATCTTATAGGTCATAACCGTGTCATTGCCAACAGTTACACAACTCTTCACGTTGATAAGACAACAAACAGACATGCCAACCTCTGCATATTTCTCTTTCTCCCAAGGTGACGGAGCTGAACGAAGCACTATCCAACGAGGAGAGGAACCTGCTCTCCGTGGCCTATAAGAACGTGGTTGGGGCAAGGCGTTCATCCTGGCGCGTCATTTCCAGCATTGAGCAGAAGACGTCCGCAGACGGTAACGAAAAGAAGATCGAGATGGTGCGCGCCTACCGGGAAAAGATCGAGAAGGAGCTGGAGGCCGTCTGCCAGGACGTGCTCAACCTCCTCGACAACTTCCTGATCAAGAACTGCAACGAGACGCAGCACGAGAGCAAAGTGTTCTACCTGAAGATGAAGGGCGACTACTACCGCTACCTGGCCGAGGTGGCCACGGGGGAGAAGCGGGCCGCGGTGGTGGAGTCCTCCGAGAAGTCGTACAGCGAGGCCCACGAGATCAGCAAGGAGCACATGCAGCCCACCCATCCCATCCGCCTGGGCCTGGCTCTCAACTACTCAGTCTTCTACTATGAGATCCAGAACGCCCCGGAGCAGGCGTGCCATCTGGCCAAGACCGCCTTCGACGACGCCATCGCCGAGCTGGACACCCTGAACGAGGACTCCTACAAAGACTCCACTCTGATCATGCAGCTGCTACGAGATAACTTGACGCTGTGGACGAGCGACCAGCAGGATGACGAGGGAGGAGAGGCCAACAATTAAAGAGTCCAAAACCTCATTTCTGCCAAAAACATGCGCGCTCACTAATGACAAAATAATAATACTAGTTCTTAGAAATAAAAAAAGAGGGTGGGCTGGAGAGGGGGGGCGGTCGAGCGTTGGCAGCCAATTCAGCCGATGGTACCAACGTGGCTGCTGTTCTTTATTTTTCAACAAATTAAAACTGAAAAAATAATACTATGTTGACCGAGGGAAGAAATTTTTAGTTTGAGAGATGACATAGGATTTACAAAAAATAAATAAAAAGAATGAACCCCCCCTCCTTGGTAGCCTCCGCAGCGTTTGCCAAAATACCACTTTAGAAGCAAGAGGTATGTCATTCATCACAGTGTGACGATTGAGTAAACACGCCTTCACACTGGCAGAGACTGGTCTCATCGCGCAAATGAAGCTGAGCTGTCTTATTGTATTTGGTGAGGGGAGGAGCATTCGGATATTGAGTTTTCAATGCTTGAGCAACCAGAAAATCGGAGTAACCTTGAATGTCGCGGCCTTGCTTAGCGAGAGAGAAAGACGTGGGTGAGAGAGAGAGAGAGAGTTGCGGAGATGCAGGGCTTTTCTAGGGTCGTCAGCGGGACACCTGTAGTTGTACCGCACTATCGTTGGGTGACAAACACGTTGACTCGGTTATTGAGGATGACATTAAAAAAAGAAAATAATGAAATAAATTGTTTTTGTTTTGCTTTGTGTCAGGTACGTGTCCAGCTCGGCCACAGTCATACTGTAACAAAAAATACAAATTTATGAAGTAGACTTATTGCAGCTTGTCCCTCTCATGTACTGATGTGCTTTGTTGAATAAATTAACAGTTTGTTGGATGCCTAATTCTTATTGTCAGTATTGCTGTTACAATAACAGCTACCATTGGCTACTTGGAAGAAAAAACGATTTGATTCGTAGTAATCCAGATTGCAAAATTAAATGAATGGAAATTTTAAAAAGAGAACCGATTAAGCACACTATCACAAGTCGACCCTTACTCTAGTTATAAAACTCCAGTTATATGGTCTCCACAACAACCAGAAGGGTCTCTGAAACGGCCCTTTGAACCACAGACTTTATTGGTGAACTCTGTGCAGATTGTGGTCGGAGCACATGCAAGTGGAAGCTCTAAAAGCAGATGTGGGGTTTGTTGATTTAATTTGTCGGCAGTTTCTTCTTGGTCAAGAGATGCACTTCCCTATTATACTGTTTCTTCAGTGTAACATGATAACTGCTCCAATATTCTCCATAATACAATATTGTGCATGCTGGTGATGTATTTATACAGTAGCTTCAATTTATTAACTTATACTGTAGATGTTATGTATTCATATGGACATGAAATTACTAGACTTAATTGGATTATTTTCTATTTATTTCTTTTTATTGCGATCATTAGCTAAACCTTACTTTAATCTGTGTTTTCTTTACTCCATTTGCTGAAGTACGCTATACCAAAACAGTGATTGTTGACAATAAATTGATCTGTTACGGACATTCCTATGGCCCTATGCAATTCTTGCTATCATATTGTCTTGTAATATTTGATAGCAGCATTGAGTGTGTTCACAGTGGAGGCCAGACTTGAGTCCATTGAGACAACACAGGTACTGTAGATACAATCTAGTGGTAGAACATGGCTACATCTTCTTTCTTACATTTGGTGCACAATGACTAGAAGTGGCTGAAGTGGCTGAAGTGACGAAACATGCTGGATTGTGAAATTAAAGAACATCTAAAATGTCAGTAGATGTCAGTATAATTAACATTGGAAACTACATCAGTAACATGAACCTATACATGAACCTTTTTGTACCAACCAACAATTATGTCCATCCCTGCACTTTGCAGCCCTTTCTTACAACTGTCCTTAAGAAAATGTATAAAGAAATGACAATAAAACAAATTGAAAAAGACATGCAACAAACCTTAAACCAAATTAGTAAAATAACCAGACACTAAATGGCGCCATGCTGACATAATGGGTCCGTATCCATCCATCGTCAAACCGCTTATCCTGCACACAGGGTCGCGGGGGGCTGGAGTCCATCCCAGCCAACTTCGGGCGATAGACAGGTACACCCTGGATTGGTCGCCAGCCAATCGCAGGGCCACACAGAGACACACAACCATTCACACTCACATTCACACATCTACGGGCAATTTAAAGTCCCCAATTAACCTGATCCCCAGAGCATGTCTTTGGACTGTGGGAGGAAGCCGGAGAACCCGGAGAGAACCCACGCAGACACAGGGAGAACATGCAGACTCCACACAGAAAGGCCACTGGGCGGAATCGAACCCAGGACCTTCTTGCTGTGAGGCAACAGTGCTAACCACCACGCCACCGTGCCGCCTTAATGGGTCCGTATGAACAATATAAACTCCTCACACATGGCCTTATTTTCTTTCACAACGCATGGAGCAACCAAGACGCCGCGTTGCTAGGCAACCCAGCGGACTCAGTACAAAGAGATGTTTTACTCCGCTTTCTGAACCGGCTTTCTGCAGTCTTCTTGTGCACCATGAACATCACAATGTGTTTTAGGTCCAGCTTTCCCGCTCTTGCAGTTATCGCTGCACATATCTTTCTAAAAGGAAACGTTACAGAGCGAAAGCAGAAGTCAACATGATTATTTTAGCAAGCTGGCATTTAGACAGACCCAGCATGGTTGCATAGGTGTGTTCTTCAAGGGTCACTGAGGTCCAGTTAGATTAGATTATTGCTGACACACTACTGATGACAGACACACTACTGATGACCATCAGCACGTGGTAGACACTCAGCCTGTGAGAAAGTGAGAAAGTTCTCACCGGTGTAAAATCATATCAAGGTCCGTCATGTTCTTTATCCTGAGACATACCGTACATCTGATCATCACAAGACACTTGCGTGGCCTTCTGGACACCGGACATACACGTCACACAGATTTCAAATCCTGAGAGGTTATCTTATCTCAGCTGTCACACAACTTATTGAACAAACGATACCGACGTGGTCTTGTGTTGTTTTCTCTATACCCCCCTTCTTATCATGACATAATTGCAGGTTTTACCAAAAGAAACCAATAAACTACTACGTTCAAATTGTTATGCTACTTTCACACAAAAAGCGAAGGGTATTTTCCCTGCGAGTAGATTCCATGCAAAGTCAATGCACAGACGCGGACGGTTGCAAACAACTCAAATTTCCGATGGGCGGCGCAAAAAGCCCAGCGCAAATTATGCAAATGAAGAAAATGTCGCAAAGTGGTAAATTTGCCTCGTTTGCAATATTTCAACTTTGGCAAAAAAGCCAGACGGTATCTTGCAAAAGCCGATCAGAGTTGAGATGCTTCGGCCGCCATCAACGCCGTCTTGCTGCCGTTGTGGGATCAGAAACAATGGAGCACTAATTGTTGCGGTTCGTGGACATACCAAGCTTTACAATTAATTTGCATACCAGTACAGAAACCATTATTATTTTCATGGTGGATAACAGAAATTATAACTTATATAGTTTCTACGGAGACAAACCACAGAGATAAACCACACCCCCTTTTCGGAGCAAATGAATCCCCCACAAATTCGGGCAAGTAAAGTGTTGCTTTGCTTTTAGTGTGAATGTAGTATTAGCTTTGGGTGTTTGAAAATATTTAACCATAAGAAAGCTCCCGCAAGTAAGTCGTTGTTTACATGTCCTCTAAAAGGCAGAGCTGCCAACTTTTCAAAAAACCCTGGAGTGAGATTTTGTCGGGAGTGACCAAAATGTACCGCGCACGCAGCCACACACGTTGGTGGCTCAAATATCAGGGAATTGGAATTAATTTGGCGTTGCCATGTTGTCCCTGCAATTTAGTGTTTTTTGGGGCCCAAAGTCGTCGATAGGGGCGGCCTGCTGGAGATGGACAACCTTGGTTACATTCTGAGAAGCAGACATAGCTGAAGGTCCACCCCCAGGACATTTTGGTTTAAGTAGATGTCATTTCCTGCATTCTAGTGGATTTTTGGGTGGTATGCTAAAGAACTTATTGGGATTCATGTTCATCTGACCATGACTTGTAGGGCCTTCTAGACTTGAGCTGAACATTCAACCAGAAAACTATTGTTGTACCTCAATGACGGTCTATGTACCTGTGTTTGAGATTTGACCGAGGTAGAGTGACATTTTGATTACAATGGTATTCAACCAATTCTTAACTGAAACCCAACCGATTTTCTTAATAATTGTATTCTTAAGAGCACTTAATGATTTATGTTCAGCAAAAAATTAAGATTAGTGGGGGAGAAATATTTTTCATTATTCAAAGCCTCCCACACACGTTCATCAAACAAAAAAGGGCAACAAATAAAGTGCTTAAACTGTAGCATTTTGAAGCAATATGATAACTAAAAATGAGGTATCAGATCAGAAGCTGGTTATTAGTAATTTTCTAAGATCTGTGGCCATGGTTGATTGATCACTGTATTATATACATCAAATACTATGAGGTTCATCACTACTAATGTAGAGACACATATGAGGTTCAGTTAAGTTTTTAATTTAATTTACAGTGATGTTTATACATTTAAGGACCACCAAACTGATTATCGGCCTCTTGATGATTACGTAAGAAGACAAACGGCAGGTGTATGTGTGTGGAATGTGTTACTATCCAGTAAAATATTAACTGTTTCATTGTTGTTACTGTGGCCAACCTCCTCTTACTTTAGGAAACCATTATAAAGCTATTGTAGTGCGATGTAATACAACAGCCCTGAGTTAAATGTTCTCCTCATTAACATTAATGTGTTTCTTACTTCCTATATGAATACAAATAAAATATACACCTGTCAGTGTATTCCAGGAAAGTTCAGCACCAACACAAACTACAGCTGCTCCTCATAATCTTCTTTAGAAAGATGCTCGACTGTACATCATATATATATATATATATATATATATATATATATATATATATATATATATATATATAATGTCATCCTCAAGTATATATAAATAAAAGACGAAACAAGCTTGATAGTAAAATACTTAACAGTCAAGAACTGTATTAGCAAGACCAGCTGATGCGGTGACGTCATCAATTGAGCTGCTGTTCCACATGCGGAAATGACCGTGAGTCAGGACTCCCGAGTCCGTCTCCCAAGTCTGTTCTCCTGGGAACGCAAGCCTGCAGTCTATTGAGAAAGGACGTCTAAGCAGCGAACAGGGTTACAGCTCCTTCTACGCCATCTACCGTCGGGGAGTTTGCAAAGGAACGAAACAAAATCTGATTTTGTTTTTTTGCGTGAGAAACTGGATGTGTGGCGTGAGTTGGCAGCTCTTTCCAAAGGGAAAGTTAATGTCTGCAAAATGTTAATCCATTCCAATCATCTATTTTATTCAAAAACATAAATGTCCAATTAATGGTGCCTCTGAATGACTGATCACTTAAGTGAGAATCAAAATTAATTACTGTACAAAGTTGAATTGCAATCCCGTTATTTTATACTATTTATATTTAGATATTTGATCATGGACAAGTGATTGCCTGGAGACACGCTGCTAGCGTGGTGGCAGCTCACTCTGTGGTGAAATAAGCCAAACGTAAAGCAATATGCAGAACGGACAGTCCAAAAGCACATCATCTTTGAAAAGGAATAGAGTGGTCATCTCATTATCTCACTATCGAGCTGTCTCGCTGGAAGAAATGGCTTGTTGTCTGTTGAAGCTTTAAAATCCATGACTCAGCCCACCAAAGAAAAAGAAAAGCTCAACAAACTGGACGCAGAATTGGTCTCAGCATTGTCAGCCTATTTACGTATTAATTATAACTATTTCCATTTCTATGAAGGTGAGTTAAGTGGAATAACTAAACAAACGCTGTCTTCAAGTACAAGGAATACATTTAATTAAACCAAGAATGACTG